TTTCTGCCTCTGAGTTTTTATTAGTCGTGCTACAGGGGACAAAATATCACCTCCAGTTTCCTGAGACAATTACTTTCGTATGCATTCTTCAGTTCTAACAATGTAAACCACGATTGCTTTTGTGACCGGCTCACTTCCTTCATCTTTTATTGTCCAGACCTCAAGGTGTTGTTAGTCAATCAGGAGTCAGAAAGTTATGAGGAAATAATGAACCTGCTCTCCCTGATAGTCAAGATTGCTATATCCAAGTATTATTTTATAAAGTAGAGAGGAAGTAGCCTGAAAAGACAAACTTACGTATTCTCTTGTAGTCCATCTATATAGCATTAAAACTGAGCAAGGAGAGGGCCTGGAGAAATGGCTCAGTGATAAAAACAAAACAAAACAAAACAAAACAAGACAAGCCCTGGCTGCTCTTCCAGAGGACCCAGGTTTAATTCCCAGTTCTCATGGTAGCTGGCAACTGTACCTCACTCTCAGTGGATTCAACACCCTCTTCTGGTCATCCTGGGCACCAGGCACCTACATTGTACACAGACAAAACACTCACACACATAAAAATAAAAATAAAATTTTTAAAAAATTTAAAGGAGGAAACTGTCTCAAGGTGAATAGTTTCCTTTTGTTTCTTTGCTTCTACTTTGTACCAAGATCATCTGAATACCAACAATAACGAATCAGCTTTAGAAGGGTGACTATGTATACACATCTGTAAATCTGAGAGCAACCTAACTTTTATTCTTTTGTGGTGTCAGGGACAGAATCCAGACATGTGAGCTCTTTCTTCATCTCTCTTCCTAGTTTTTGGAGACAAAAGTCTCACAAGTTGCACAGGCTGCCCTTGAGCTGATTCTTTAAGGCAGGCTTTGAACTTGGCACCCTCCTGCGTGGTCTCTCAAGCAGCACACATAACAGCCTTGCACTGACACGTAAGGGCTTCAGCCCTTGCTCTAACTCTTGTTTCTGCTTTTTGAGACCCAGTCTCACTCTGTAGGCCAGATGGGCCTAGGATTCATAACAATTCTCCCTCAGTATCCTTAACTTTTGAGAACAATGCTTAGACTAGATACTGTTAAGCTGACGAGAAAGGCAAATTCTGTATTGGAGCTGGGAATTGATTTCTCATAGGGATATGGCTTAGCAGTCTGCACCGCATAGAATTCCAAGCACAGCTGAATTGAAGTTAGCAAATTTCAAGTGATAGGAAGCACGGCTGACTGCTATAAACAATAAAGGGATGCGAATGAAGGTTACTGTGCTGATGCCAGCACTGGGGAAATCAATATGAGCATCCTAACTTAAAGCATTCTAGATATGCAGTATCTGTGGATACAAGGATTAATATATATACACGTCTGTGGCCTAGCTATGTCCCCGAGGGAGACAATGCAGAGGAGATGCATGAATACCCAACTAGTGCAAATACTGAGTGTATCGCATGCCCAGATCTTGGTTTATCATCTATCTATCTATCTATCTATCTATCTATCTATCTATCTATCTATCTATCTATCCATCCACCCATCTACCTACCTACCTACCTACCTACCTACCTACCTACCTACCTACCTACCTACCTATCTATTTTGGTTTTTTGAGACTGGGTTTCTCTGTGTAACAGTACTGTCCTGGAACTCACTTTATAGACCAGGCTGGCCTGCAACTCACTGAGAGCCACCTGCCTCTGCCTCTCAAGTGCTGGGATTGAAGGTGTGCACCACCACTGCCTGTCTAAAAATTATTATTTTTTTTTATTTTATGCACTTTGGTATTTTGCCATGGTATCAGGTTCCCTGGCACTGGAGTTGCAGACAACTGTGAGCTGCCATGTGGGTGCTGGGAATTGAACCAAGATCCTCTGTGAGAACAGTTAGTGCTCTTAACTGCTTAGCCATCTCTTTGACCCAGATCTTGATTCTTAAAACCATTTTTTTAAAGGGCAAGGACCATGGTTTTTTTAGGGTGGGGTGATAGGCAGGAAGGGTACATGATAAGCCTGGAAGAACTATAAAATGTGTGCTGAACCCCAAAAACAAACCCAAGAAGGTCAAAGGGTCAAAGGCATGTCATAAACACCAAGGAATAAACTTTCAAGAATTCGGGCCAAAGTTGGAACACACACACACACACACACACACACACACACACACCTCTAGGAGTCCATCCTCATAGAAACTGAATAACAGATCTTCCCTAGGCAGATGGGAGCAGAAAGCTAAAGCGTCTGCCACCTGGGAGCTGGCTAACAAACTTCAGCCAATCAGTGGGCCTTGAGTTTCTTCTGACCGTAGATGTGAAAAGAGTCCCCGCCCCATCATGAAAGCTGAGAGCTGGGACCCGAGAGAGAGCTTAGTGGTCAAGAGCACCGCTGCTGTTGCAGAGGACCTGGGTTTGGTTCCTGGCACCCACAAGGCAACTCATAACGGTCTGTCACTCAAGTTTCAGGAATCCAGTGCCTTCTCCTGACCTCTGTGGGCACCACATGCATGTGGGTACTTAAAGACACATAGAAATAGAATCTCTTTCCTGTAACTTAAACTGTTTACAAAAGTTGAGTTTCAAATATGAAGGATGATTTTATGTACATCTGTAGTGATTCTGGGACTATTTCCCACAGGGTGCAAAGCCATACAAACAGAAGAAACAATAGGCCTAGCCCTCCGTGGCTTTCTCTGTCTCAAAAACAAACACTTGAGATATTTGATGAGCACTTCCTACTCTCCCAGCAGGCATTTTTAACCTGCCAATGACAGCATCCCCATTTTAGGGCTCTTCTCTGAGCTCTGAATTTGATATTGTAACTTTGCTTAAATACACATCATTCGCACTCAGCACTAAAGTTGCAACTTAAATGGTTCTTCAGTCTAAGCTCGCATACTATATCCTTCAGACCTGGGTCTTTTTCTTTTATGCTCCATCCTACTGTGGGACTTTGTTTCTTACCCTCTGTCGTGGTTTGAAAGAAAACAGCCCCGGAAGGGAGTGGCACTATTAGGAGGTGTAGCCTCGTGTGTGATACATAGTTCACTTCTTGTTGCCTGCATATCAAACTTCAGCACCAATGTAGCCAGCACCATGTCTGCCTACACCACCATGCTCCCTGCCATGATGATAATGAACTAAACTTCTGAAACTAAATCACCACTGCAATTAAATGTTTTCCTTTATAAGAATTGCTGTGGTCATGGTGTCTCTTTACAGCAATGGAAACCCTAAGTAAGACACCCTCCTTTGACAATAACCATATTAGAATGAAGAAACCTCCTTCTAAGCATCTGCCCGGGCTATATTCACAATTTGTGATTCTACACTAATAACGTATGAGTTTGGTTCAATATCCGTCAGTTTGTTTATATTCAACTTCTTTTTGTGACAAGATCTAGCCTTGTCTGGCCTTTTACTTGCCGTGTAGATCAGGCTAACTTCAAACTCACAGAGGTCTGCATGCCTCTGACTCTGGAACGCTGGGATGAAATGTGCGCACCACCACACCCAGGCCTATATTCAGCGTTTAAAGTGTTTACCTCCTTTGTCCTGGTTAGTTTTACTTGACACCGCCTGCAGATATCTGAGATGAAAGCCCTGATTGAGGCTTGCCTAGATAAGACTGACCTATGGATGTATCTGGAAGAGGGGGTGCGCTGATTATTAATTGCGCTCCCAGCTCACTATGAACCGCAGCATCCCTGGGCAGGTGGCTCTCGACTGTGTAAGAAAACCAGCAAAGCATGAGCCTGCGATCAAGGCATCAAGTATGGTTCTTCTGGAAGCTGCTGCTTCAGATTCCTGCCCCGTTTGAGTTCCTGCACTGGCTTCCTTCAGTGATCATTTGTGGCCTGGAATTATTAGCCAAATAAAATAATAAATCCCTTTCCTTGCCTATGTAGCTTTTGGTCACGTTTTTTAAAGCAACCGAGAGGAAACTGGAACACCCTTCCTTGGAGTCTTTCATGAGTTTTTGACTTACTGCCCCACTTTTGTTTACAAGTGCGTGCATGAATACATAGTGTTTTTTATTTCCTCCTCTTCTTAGGCGCTTACTCCAAGACTAGGAAAAAGGAAGCGTCTGATACAATAAATACTTCCTTTCCAACATCTGTACAGTCCTAATCTCATCCAGTGCCCAGGCTGCTAAGATGGCTGCCTTCATAGCAAAGGACACCCAGAGACTCGCAGTGGTTCTCATCCTCCTGAAAGCTGCGACCCTTCAGTACAGTTAGTTTCTCCTCTTGCGGTGACCCCAACCACAAAATTATGTTCATTGCTACTTCATAACTGGTTTTTTTTTTTTGTTTTTGTTTTTTTGTTTTTCGAGAAAGGGTTTCTCTGTAGCTTTGGAGCCTGTCCTGGCACTCACTCTGTAGATCAGGCTGGCCTCGAACTCACAGAGATCTGCCTGCCCCTGCCTCCCAAGTGCTGGGATTAAAGGCATGCGCCACCACTGCCTGGCCGCTACTTCATAACTGTAACTCTTGCTACTGTTATGAATTGTAATGTAAATATTTTTAGAAATAGAGGTTTGCCAAAGGAGTCGTGACCCACAGGTTGAGAATCGCTGCTCTAGAGTAAATCCCTTCAGGACTTGTGTGGGCAGAGGCCATTTGGCTTAGGAAATAGATTTCAGCCAGTCCTCAAATGTACAAGATGACTAGGCAGCTTACTCTCCCCAGAGTGCATTCAAAAGAAGAAAAGCCAAGGACACAAGCATACATTTGAATTTTCTACCTTTAGACAAAATCAATGTTCTCTTATTAACATAATGTGATCTATTGGAAAACTCTAGTGTGTCCCTGAGAGGAAAATTTATCTAAGTTTACAACCTGGCTTCATGGTTGGTTTTCTGATCAATAAGAAAATGGCATATTGCATACACACGCACTTATTCTATGAGGAACCCTTTCAAAAGCCAGGTCAAGGTAAGAATGGTTCGTGCCTACGTGTGTGTGTGTGTGTGTGTGTGTGTGTGTGTGTGTGTGTGTGTGTGTGGTGTAAGGCTTCAGAGGGAAGGTCTGATAAGGTCTATTTATGCAACTCAATCCCTTGGGATGCCTTCGCTCTCCAGGAGGCTCCCTTGCAGGGGGTTGTGACAGCTGACTCCGCAGAAAGGTCTGCCCGACTCATCAAAGGTCAGGGTAGATGAGGCTTTTCCCTGCAGCTGCTATTTATTCAGATGTTCCGACTCGGCAGTTTTTCAGTCATTCTACTGGGCTGTCAGGCCCTGCCCGGGCCCACCGGCAAACTGACACGAGGTTTCCCTTGCAAACAGCCAGCTCGATTGCCGCAGACAAGACTCAGGTGAGAGGTTGGGAGTTACAGCTCCATGGAGGGCAGGAACACAGATTAGAACAAGGTTGAAAAGACTCACAAGATCAAAGGGAACCGCACAGCCCCATGTTCCACTAAAACGAGCTTCCACTCCTGGAAGCAGGTCAGTCCAATTACATGACGGCACAGCCTTTATTTGATGTGGGGTATTGACCTGTTCATTTCTACACTGGAGATCAGAGGTGACTTCTTATTTACATAGGGGCAGTGCAGCAAGCCAACAGCCGCATAGGCACTTGCAGTTGTCTGCTCAGTGTGTCCAGGACACAGTTTGGGGATCCAGGAGTGGCGCTTCATAGTCTCAGGCAGTGCCGTCTCAGGGAAATATTCAGATCTGCTTTTTCTAGATAGTAAGTTTTCGAACGTGGAAAAAAGGGTCCACATGGCTCAGTGAGTTTGTGGTATGTGGGTAGACTGTCTATGAGTTGTTGGCTGCATCTAAAGGGCGCTTCAGGAGGACCTCAGGTTTGCAATCTGCCACACAGCTGATTGTCAGGCATCCCCTGACAAGACTGCAATGCTCGTGGGTCGGTGAAGGGTGTGGATGAAGCACTCTAGAGTACTGCACATCAGAGGCTGTGTATCCAGAGGAAGCCTATCGACTGATTCGGTAGCGCTTACCTCGGATTGGACAGGGAGCGTGCATGCCACCAGGGGCTCTATGCAGAAGAGGCACGCTAAAGGAGATGTGGAGCGTGCAGACTTATCCACAGGCTGACTACCAGCTACCCACACTACTTCAGAATTCAGTATCTGACCTCTGGGAAGACCCAGGAGCATGGTGTGCCAGATAGACTGGCCGCCAGGTGATGCCTGAACTTTCCCCTACAGGGGTAGTTGCTAGGGAGGTGACAGCCAAGTTCACATTATCATGATCATCTTAGATCTTTATATAACTTTTTATACATAAATTACAGAGACCAGGGCCATTTCCGACAAGGTCGGAATGGTGCCTGTGAGACACACGGTTGAATCTGGTCCCCTGTGACCTTTATTACTAGTTATGTTGGACTTTTCACATCTCTATTTTCCATGTGCCTCTGGTGGGCTCTCAGACCAAAACCAGGCAACACACAGGGTAAAGCTGGCTGTCCTGATTTATTGCTACTGTGGTTAAAAACCATGACCAAGAGCAATTTGGGGAGAAAGGGCTTATTTGGCTTACCCACCCTATCATAGTTCATCACTGAGGGAAACAGAAACTAAAGGGCAGGAATCTGGAGAGGACAGAACGGAAGCAGAGACCATGGTGGAACACTGATTGCTTCCCATGGCTCAATCAGCTCGATGCTGTTATTATTATTGTTGTTACTATTATTATTTTATTATATTTAAATTGTTTTTATTGAGCTATATATTTTTCTACACTCCCCTCCCTTCCTCTCCTCTGACCTGCTACCCTTTCCCATAATCTCCATGCTCCCAATTTACTCAGGAGATCTTGTCCTTTTCTACTTCCCATGTAGATTAGATCCATGTCTCTTAGGAACCTCTTTGTTGTCTATTTTCTCTGGGATTGAGAATTGTAGGCTGGTTTTTCTTTGCTTTATGTCTAAGAGCCACTTACGAGTGAGTACGTATTATTTTTTGTCTTTCTGGGTCTGGGTTACCTAACTCAATATGATGCTTTCTAGATCCATCCATTTGCCTGTAAATTTCAAGATGGCATTATTTTTTTCTGCTGTGTAGTATTCCATTGTGTAAATGTCCCACATTTTTGTTATTATTTTAAGTACGATTGTGGTGGTTTGACTGAGAACAGGCCCTATAGGCTCAGATGTTTGGATGCTTGTTCCAAAGTTGGTGGAAGAGTCTGAGAAGGATTAGGAGCTGTGGCCTTGTTGGAGGAGGTGTGTCACTGGGAGTGGGCTTTGAGGTTTCAAAAGCCCATGCCATTCCCAGTTAGTGTTCCCCTCCCGCCTCTCTAACTCAAAGACCAGGATGTAAGCTCTTAGCTACTGCTTCAGCACCATGTCTGCCTGCCTACTGCCATGCTTCCTGGTGTGATAGTTGTGAGCTAACCTCTGAAACCGTAAGCAACGCCAAACACTCATTCTAACTAAGTTGCTCTGGTTATGGTGTTTCTTCACAGCAATAAAAAAGTAACTAAGACAACCAAGGGCCACCTGCCTAGGAATAGCACCACCCACCACGGGATGGCCCCTCCCACATGGATCATTAATCAAGAAAATGCCTCACAGACTTATCCACGGGCAATCTGATTTTTCTCATTTGAGGTGGACATCCCTTTCCCCAGATGTCAAGCTGACAAAAAACAAACAATGTAGCACACTTGCATTTTAGAGTGACAGCTTGTGGTAGTTTGGAAAAAAAAAAAAATGGTACCCATAGGGAGTGAAACTATTAGGAGGTGTGACTTTGTTGGAGGAAGTATCTCACTGTGGGGGTGGACTTTGAGGCCTCCTATGCTCAAGCCTCACACAGTGTGGTACTTAGTTCACTTCCTGCTGCTTGTGGACCAAGGTGTAGAACTCTCAGTCCCTTCTCCTGCACCATGCCTGCCTACATGCCACCCACCATGAAGATAAAGAATGGACTAGACCTCTGAACTGTAAGTTAGCCCCAATTAAATGTTTTTCTTAATAACAACTGCCTTGGTCATGGTGTCTCATCACAGCAATAAAAACCCTAACTAAGACATAGCTCTAGAAAAAGGTGTCAAAGAAACGTCACGGTTAGGGAAGGGAATTTCTTTAAATAGTTCTTGGTCCGAGATAAAGATTATTTCATGGTGTAGTTTACTACTGGGGTCTGTGAGAAGGCTCCAGAATGTTTTAGTCTGAGGTAAACCACAGGGTGTACCTTCTGATTATCATATGATGACCTGGATCTACTTGGCCGCCATGAGTCCAGCGATTTAATTTTGATGGCAGTGTAGATGGCTAGCAGTACCTTGTAGGAGTCCTACCTGGTATGTGACTATGTGTGTCCTTCCAAACAGAGATGGATACTTGAGCATTTGGATGAAACCGATGGCAGGGACAGTCAGCGAAGACCATACACTGGCGACATGCTCCAAGAATAACAACGCTTTTCTGTGCTGGCAGCCACACTCAGGGCTAGCTTACACAGATTAAGAGACTGCTCTGCCACTGAGCCACATCCTCAGCACAGTCCCTGCATATAACAAGCTACTGTGTATGGTACTGTTTGCTCATGCTCCCATATGTAGCCCAGGATAGTCTTGAACTCACTACACAACTGAGGTCAGTCTCAGATTCGCAGCAATCTCCTCTCTGAGTTTCCTCAGTGCTGGAATCACAAGCATGTGTTATCACTCTTGGCTTCCAAAACTTACTTTAAAAGGTTATCCTCTGCTAGGTGTGGTGGTAAATGCCTATAATCCCCAGCACTGGAGAGTTGAAGGTAAAAGGGTTAGAAGTTCAAGGCCAGCCTGGGCTATATAAGACCCTGACTGAGAAACAAATGGCAAACAAAAAAGAAAGATCATTGTTTCTATGGGAAAAGGCTAGATTTTTTGAGGGGGGTGGGGCACGTTTGAGACAGTATTCATCTGTGTAGCCCTGGTTATCCTGGAACTCACTCTGTAGACCAGACTGGCCTCAAATTCAGGGAGCTGCCTGTCCATGCTTCCTGAGTGCTGGGATTAAAAGCATGTTCCACCGTCATTGTCTGGCTAGATTTTTCCCCCCTTTTAAATAAGAGACAACGGTCATTAGAGTATACTATTTGTTTCCAGTGGAGTTTTGTTTGTTTTTTGTTTTTTAATGTTTCTCTTGTCCCAAGGATTAAGAAAAGTGGAGGAATGGAAGTTTAATGGCCAGATTCCTGGAGAGCAAACTGAGTTCCTAGGTGAAAAGCTTGCTAAATTTGGAGAGTGGAGGTCAGAACTGGAAATGGATAATGCCAATTTCAGTGTTTTCAAAGAGACCAATGCACCAAGGAAGCTTGCATGGTGGCAGATGGAGGGGCTGATTGGGCATCCACTGACTACCCTGAGCTATTTTACCCCTGTCTCAGTTAGCCAGGGCCTTAGATAGCCTTTAACCACAGAGTGCAAAAGGGTATTTTCTATGTGATTCTGGTAGTTGGGCAGGGTAAGCGTGAATTCATCGCTTGTGAAGACTTCTAAAAAAAAAAACTTTACAAGGACGAAAGTTTCTTCTGGTTCAGCTGTGACTTCTTTCGAAGACTCTTGCAATGATCTTACTGGTTTCTGTGTCTTTATGATTTAGGGTGTGCCTCCGCCTCCCAAGTGCTGGGGTGAAAGGCCTGCACCACTGCTGCCCTGCTAGGGGTGTTTTACTTTTGTTTCTTTTAAAGCGAATGTCAGCCCCGGCCGCTGCAGCAGACGAGTTCGGGAATCCTCAAGCTGTCTCGGTGTCCCCGCTGTCCTCGTGCTCGTGGCCTGGGCCATTCCATTAACTCTAGGCCAGGCAGCTGCTTGGAGCCTGTTGTGGCTTTGGGATCAGCCCTGACTGGCCCTGCGGAAGTGCTGTCGCCAGGGTGACGGGAGATGCTACCCCTCCGTTCTGGCCGCCGGGAGCTTAGGGCGAGCAAAGCTCGAGGGAACATGGGGCGGCCGCTCTGATGCCTTACCTGTGGGACATTCGCCGCCAAACCCGTGCGTCCGCCTCAAGCCAAGACCGGAGCCAAACCGGGACCCGAAACCCATCAGCGCGTGTCAGGGCGGGACCGTAGACCAGCAGCCAATCCAAAGTAGAGTGCCGCGAGCAGCCAGCCAATCCCAGCGAAGACTCGGGCGGGGCCTGTGCATGTTGCAGGCAGTTCCCGGGTCTGACCATTGGCTGCTGAAGATGTTCAGCCCGCCTCTCCTTTTCCGGCCCTGGGTGTGGAGGGAGAAGTCTGGGTGCCGGACTTTCAAGCCGGATTTATCAGGCTTCCACCAAGCGTTGGTGCTCGTAGTTCCGGCGCTCTCGAAGGGTCTTTACGATTGTTCTGTCCGCACCTCTGTTCGCAGGGGAGGC